ATCTGAACCAGTGCTGCATTCAACATACCACATGACACACAAAATCAATTTTTATCTGCGTTTTTTAATATTTGCTTTTAAAGTAAGAAATTGAGTAATACATACTACTAAAATTTGAATTATAATCTACAGTTTTATACCAAAGTTATTGACATAAATTCATGAAATATTAGTTCAATAAAATTTTGAATGAGAGTCAACAAACAAGATAACATGGCCTTTCACCCATGACCCGTCTCGAAAAGGTTAAAGTCCTTTAATATAAAAATTGCAAAATAAACAAACTAAAATATAAAACACTCCTCAGCAATGATTACACTTTAATTACCAAATAGCCTTTAAAATAGATATCAGACACAATAACACACAGTATAACACTGTTAACAGCAATAGAGGTCACAGTGTAAAATGAAATATGCAAAATGAAATCACCCCTAAGACGAATTACATATACCTCAAATACATTTCATATAAAGAATAAACCCTTTTAACACACACGTATTGTGTGATTCTAATCAAGCAACTTCACCCAAAAAATAACTAACAGATTTTTTGCTAGTGTCAAAAACATACTAAAATGTTGTTTAACAAGGAAAATGTTTTTGTACAATTACTATAACTCCAGTTGTAGTTTTAAATTTAAAAAGAGGATTTCTGCAACCATTCACATGTGGGTCTGCTGCAAAATATAGGTAATATACAAGTTCCTTCCACAGAACTTTTTTTTTTGCAATAGTTAGAACCTTTACAGTGTATGAGAAAATGGATCAAACAAGTAGGATTATATTTACCTTAATTAATGGAGCTATAAATGCTATGACTAAAGTTGGGAGAGCTTTAAATTATTTCTATTTCAGGATCACTCAATGTAGGTTTGATAGTCTTTAATAAATTCAAAAGAAATTTCACATTGAGGATGTGGGTAAAGATTTTTGGATTGTACCAATTGTATGTGAACACTTCAACACATCTACAAAAATTATACTATGGATATATTTTAACAAAGTTTTTCTGGGGAATTACCAAAAGAGGATACAAACACAAGTTGTTTTTTTTGTTTCTTGTGTGTGTGTGTGTGTGTGTGTGTGTGTGCGTTTATTGCAAGTAATGGCATACTTCATTTTTCTTTTGGAGTTAATTTCATTAATATCATTGTTTATAGTTTACAATAATTTTGAATATTATCATGAATTTTTACATTTCTGAAATTATTTTGCATGAGTAGGTTAGCAAACTTCATGAGATTCTACTGGATTTTCAGCTGAAAATACTGTTAATAGTAAGGATACTCAGTTGATAATGGTTAGAATGCATTGATTCATAAGTTTGTGTTCCCGTGTCTTGATTTACAAAATTATGTACTTCTAGCCACTTTGTTGTACTAGAATTACCTTTATTAATTTATGATTTATTTACTTTTTAGGTCCAATTTAAAGCTTAGTTTTGATCAAATGTATTGATAATTCCATTTAATTATAACTTGGGTTATTTATCTGACAAAAACAAAAAGGACTTTCATAATGAGCAAAAAAAAGATCTAATTATACTTTCTTATTACCCATAGTGAACACTAAACCACTTATGATGAGCTTCAAAATAAAAAAATAAAGTAAAAAAAACTTTAAATGATTCCTCTTTCATTTTCTCTGGGTTAATATTTTACTGAAATAACAAGTTTAATTCATCAATAAAGATGGTTAATAAGCATATATTGCAATGTGAACTTTGAATGTATCTAAATACAAAGTGTATGAGTGTTACATTGATTTAGCACGTGCAAAGCAGTACTTGGATCGTGTTTTGCACCCTCAAAACCAGGAAGCATTTTATGTTGAGTTATAGATCATGACCGACAATTTTCTATGATAAATAACCTGTGTAGCAATTAAAGCTATAATCAATGACATAATGACAATAAACATGTTCAAATCATCAGATGCACAATGTTAATTTCGAAAGCTTTAGTGAAACTGTATCCAATACTAATGATAATCAAAATTGTAGTGCCTTGCACGTAAGAATGGTCAAGGTACATAATGGTTTATAACAACAACAAAAAATTATGAATATGCACAAAATTAACAGGTAACTCAAATTTCTTAAACTAGATTAATATCCTGGACAAGGCATCTTTGTGTTGTTAGTAAAATAAAATAAAAAAAATCACTTTTCAAAACACAAATTGTATATATATTTTTGTTGGCACTTTAAAAATTTCAACATAACATGACAACTGGTGGCAAAATAAAGTATGAAAGTAATCAATATTAATTCTTAGCATTAATAATGTGAATGAATTAACTCATTTTCTGAAAATGTCCTCATGCAGAAACATGAGGTATTTTAGCTACCAAGTACTTTCCTTGTATATTTTTAGTTATCAATATCATTTTAATCATCTAAATGTAGTTTCATGATCTAATTTTATATCATAATTGCTTAATTTTTGTTATGATTCTACATAAATGCTGAAAACTAAGGCTCACTAACTTGCTGAATAACATCCTTCTTATAATTTAAAGGCAAAATGTAAAAAAATTGGAATTGTCATTTTCTAAAATTCATAGGTCTTTCGTATGATCTCTGTCTTCTTCCTTCAAGTCTTATATCTTCCATTCTGTTGAAATTTCTTTGTTTAAATCTTTCACTTCTTTGTCCATGTATTTTTTGTTGACTTTGAATACATTTATCTCCTATTCCTGCACATGTAGGATTCCATCTAGTTTTGTTGTTGTATCTGTCATTTATTCTCCATTTTTCTTGTTTTGTATTGTAGTGTGTGTGTGTGTGTGTGTGTGTGTGCACGTGCATGCATATCTCCAACATCTTGACAATCTTCATCTTCACATTTATTTATAATAACTTTACATTTTCCTTCCCCTCTCTGTATTTTCTTTAATTGTTCTATAAACCACATTTCCTTTTGTTGCCATTTTTCATCATTTGTCCTCTTCCATTCTACATAAATCATTCCAATATTCTATCAATGTTTCAAAAGTTTACAAGTCAATTTCTGTGAACGTCATCTTTTGATTTTCCATTGTAACTTATAGAACTTCAATTTCAACTTTTCTATTTCTAATCTAGTTCTCACTTGCTTTTCTTCATTTGAAATAGCTTCATTAATTTTTTCATGAAATTTGAAAGGTATTAATGGGGGATCCTCTTGAATTTAATTTTGCCATAATTTGCTTAATTTTTCAGCTTTCAAGCTTCTCCATAATGCAAACTTTCTTTTCTTCAAACAAATCTGTTTAAATCACACAGAATACCTTCAACTTTTCTTTTTCATCTATCATCATACCCTGAAAATACAATTTCTTTCAAGAAATCTGTTTTCTGCTTGAGTCCCTTTCAGTAAAACTTAATATTTGTTGCCGTTGATCATAACAGTTTGCCACACGTTCCATTAATTCTTTTATATATATATATGATTAGAATCCCAAATATATGTATATAACCTTCTGGTATATATGGGTGTGTGTGTGTGTGTGTGTGTGTGTGTGTGTGTTGAATTTCTTTTGTATGTTTAATTTGGGAGTCAGCTGTAATTGATGGATATTTAAATTTATCGTTTGCAATGTACCATTTTATAGAAAACATTTAAAGAGCTGCTTTACTTACCCAAATAAATTTCACCAAAACCACCAAGTCCAACTGATCTTCCCAGTTTCCACTTTCTCTTCATCACATCTGTCAGCATTTCTCCGGCTGGGATGGGATCTGGAAGTCGGTGGCCATTTGATGCTACCCGTGGACGGTTTGCTGCTACAGTTAAAAATTAAGGGGACACAGTGGAGATTTTGAGGGAAACCCTTGAGAAAATTTTTTTTTCATATTGAAAAGTATTTCTAAGAATGAACAATTATATTTAACTGATGAAACAGAAATGTGTCAGTATTGTCTTGCTAGTTACTTTGACATCAAACAAGTTATTGTTAAAATGCCATAACATCTTAAGTAATCTGCATGGATGTGGCACATGAGATGTATGTAAATTAGCTGTGCTCAACCCAGAAGGTCATGGATGAGCACATCACTAGCACACTGATATTAACATTGTGATAAGTAGTTTTGGAGGTTCTCTTGGATTGGGTTATATTAGCAATTTTGTGAGTATTTTATTATTTGTCAGTAATGTAGATCAATATACAAATGCTCTTATCCTTTGTTTATTTTCTTTTATGAATAAACTTACAATAATGATTTATAAACAAAATATATGTAGAAATACTAATGTGCCTGGCCACAATCAATATGGATGGTGGCTTATTTGCTCAAAGAGGCAAGGCCTATCAATGAAATGGATAAAATTCTAGCCTCATTTCAGAACTAGTCAAATTCCATGCTAGTGTTCCTCTAATTATTCAAATATAAAATAAATGTAGTCAGGTTTGTTGCTAAAAACATATGCACCAGGAAGATTCATTTGGAAAATATAGACCTACTTGTAAAAACTAGCACATGACAGGTCAAAATACAGGTGTGCCAACAAGTCCACAATGCACTATTTTCAAAGTGTTACACATGCTTAACAAATGCAATACTTCTACAATCCCATTCTTTTGGCACAACAAGTGTTTAGTGACTTAAACCACAGAGTTGACAAGTTTTACTTTGTGTTTGACAGTAGTCAAACCATAAAGTTAACAGATTGCAACTTGAGTTCGACTAAAGTCAAACAAGTGTGAGCTGTCAGTATCAATTTTGAACTACACACATACACATTTTCACACGACAGCAGTATACAAAAGGTTTACAAACAACGATGATCATGTAATACAGGGCTGTTGTTTCTTAAACGTGTGTGTGTGTGTGTGTGTGTGTGTGTGTGTGTGTGTGTGTGTGTGTGTGTGTGTGTGTGTGTGTGAGAGAGAGAGAGAGAGAGAGAGAGAGAGAGAGTAGTGGATACTAACGTACGTACGTAAAACGTTACGTAACCTTAAAACGTTTTAAACGGTTAGGG